AAGCCTTTTGATGTTCCTTGTCTCAGGGTTTTTGGGTGCTAGTTTAAGTGGAAGCGACTGCTGTTACATGGTAGTATTCCAGTATGGCTCAATTGTCTTGTTTAATGTTCATGATCATGAGGTTGATGGGTATCTGAAAATTGTAGAAAGATGTGCTTCAGGATTGCTCCCTGAGATGAGAAGAGATGGTAAACTCTTATTTACAGAGTTCATGTTGATGAGTTAGTTCAAAGTTTTTAATGTTTATTGTCAATTCCTTTAGATATTTCCTTTTGATATGATGCACTGTACATGGTTATTATTTGATATATGACATACCAAATTAACAATGTTGAAAATGAAATTATACTTCTTCACAAGCACAGGATGAAGATTTTGGTAGGACTGCCTATGAGTTATAATATAAGAATATAATTGCCTTAGTGTGGTATCGCTATGATTAGTTCAACAAAAGAAGGTTTATGTACACCCTCCTAATTATTATACTACACGATAATAATGGAATTGGAAAATAGGGTGTTGCTTTGGTTTCCTAGTGTCTTATGTGGATGTAGGACATTATCTATGGAAATACACTTTTGAATGTGATATCTGTCTTCTCACTGGGACAAATCCACCCCTTCCCTACCCTCAAAATTCAGAACACCCTTTTCTCTTTTACCCCTTAAACCTCCCAAACTTGAAGAGAAGAACAAGAAGAAGACACGAGTAACCGTTTAGTATTTGTTGGTGAAACATAGTCCAATGTTTGGGAAGGCTTGGAATTTTCAGTGGTTCATATGGCATCCTAGAGAGTTCACAAGACTGGCATTTTCTCATTAAATTTTAGTTGCTTCTGAAATACCCTTTTTTTCTTTCCCCTTTTAGAAGAGATTTTGATTTGCTGGACATAGGGTGGTTTGCAACATTTTACACTAATTAATTGCTTATTTCGGCCAATATTTAGTATGTGTCCCTTGCTAAATTTAAAAATACTCTTGCTTCTATAGCTGAATATGCTTCTCCTCCTTCATCAGTTGCTGACTGTGCTGCTCTGTGAGCATGTCATTCATTTTTGTTACATGATGTACTTAGAAGATTGCCGTGCCCAGGAGAAAGATGATTGCTTCAGTGGGTTGATCCATTTTGGTCCTTGGCAATTTGGCAGTTAAAGTTTTTGACTCATTGGTGTAGCCTTTTTCCACACATTTCACTACATCCTTAATTTGTTTTTTCACTTTGTTTTGAAGAGTGTCCGATATATTGTCCCTTCTAATCTGGGTGTCTCCTGTTTTTGTCCTCAAACTTGATGGCAAGTAAAGTACAGCTTTGTTGAGGGAGAACACTTTTCTCTTTCTTTCTGTTTCATCGCTGGCATCATAGAGTTACTATAGAATCGCCTCTAATGGGACTTGTTCAATGTTCCTATTTCTTAATATGTTATTGCACATCATAAGTCATGTATCTGTAATACAATATTTCTTTTATATCATCAATTCCTCCATTATCTTCCTTTAGTTGAGGCTTGTCATACACTGTACTTCCACAATAAACAGGAGTGCTGCTTAAATTGCTTCTTTTTTCCATCTTTCAGTTGACTGCCAGTTCAAAAGTACTTGAAACTTTTAATTGACTGAACTTCATTTTCTGTTTGGAAATTAGAGTATGAGGTGAGGGAGAAACCGACTTTAAATACATGGATGCAAGGTGGATTAGATCACATAATGTTGCAGTACTTGAATATTGATGGATCCGTACCATTGGTAGTGTTCTTGGTCAAAGTATTGCGCTTGATTACTATGTACGCCAGGTATGTATCTTATAAAGTTATATCCTTTTACTTTGTTTCTCCTTGATTGAAGGACCTCTAAGAACACCATTTGTTTCCAATTTTTAGGTTGATGGAATGGTTGCAGAATTTACTGACATTAATCGCGGAATGGAAAAAACTGGAACCTTTACGATGGAAAGGAAAAAACTGTTCCAGTTAGTGGGGAAGGCAAATTCTAATCTGGCCGATGTGATTCTGAAACTTGGACTTTTTGAAAGGTAACAGAGCAAAAAATATTGAAGGAAAAGTTTCTTAATTTGTTGATACAAAAAAAAAAGCACATTCAAAACTCTGTATTCTTTCCTGTCCTTGAAATAATTTTTATGAATAAAGTTATAGAGGACCAGCCTTGAAACACCAGAACGATATTTTCTGTTCTCTTCTTGTTTTTCTACAATAAAGGCACTGATTTTTCCAAAAAAAATCTCCTCAAAATTCTCAATACTTTCAGAAAATAGACACTGAAGAATTCATTTTCTGAAAACTGGACCAGAAACAGCCTAGGTTTCTGATTGCTGTGGTGGTGGCCCCCCTTTTTTTTTTGAGAAGAATTTTTTTTTTTTTTTTTTTGGGGGGGGGGGGTGGGGGGTGGTGGTGGCAATTGCTCTTCGTTTTTGACCTACTATTTGTTTTTCAATCTCTTGAACTTTGATACCCCTCCCCTTTTAATTTTCGGGTGGCTTTGTAGCTCATGGAAATTTCTTTGGCTTATTCAGATCAGACATTGCCTGGAAAGATGCTAAATATGCCCAGATCTGGGAATATCTCAGGGATGAGTTTGAATTAACGCAGAGATTTGCAAGTCTCGATTTTAAGTTGAAGTTTGTGGAGGTAGAGTATTCTGTTTGCTGGGGAGAACCTTCAGTTTCATACTTAACTAAATTGGAGTAGAGCTTTTAAATTCTAAAGGATCATTGTGGTGACCTTTTGATTTTTCATTGCAGCATAACATTCGGTTTCTTCAGGAGATTCTCCAGAATAGGAAATCAGACTTTTTGGAATGGCTCATTATAATACTGATAGGTGCTGAAATACTCATATCTGTTTATGATATTGCCCATAAGTCCTCAATTACTTCTCTGTAGCACTAGCTTCCAATATATTGAAATTTGGACCAAGTTCAGTTCTAATTTCATGCCTGAGTTTAATTTATTTTGTGCTACCGATTACACAAATTCTTTTTGGTCCTAGAAAATTTTGATTTGGAATATACTTTTGCAATTTATTGCATCAACATATAGTAGGTTTTTTTCTGTTTTTTGCTTTGGTTATACGCCTTTGTTTCATCTTTTGAAAACAAAACATGCTTGCCTTTCTTAGCAATTCCTATTTTATGTAATGGTGAGAGGATTTTGCGTTAATGTTGAGGATGAATGAAAGCAAATCATGTTCTTTAGGGGTCAGGCAAGTTGGGCGGGTTAGAGAGTCAACCCAAGCCCAACCTGAGGTACAAAAACTCCAATTCTAACCCGATTTCAATCCTGAACTATTCAACTCGAGTATTGCCTGTTCAGGATCGAGTTGGGCTTGGGTTGGTTGAAAAGTCAATTGAGATTATAAAATAAAACAAAATTACTCACCAGTTCATAGATTTTGATTCAATAAAACAATAGGAATAATTCAATAAATCTATCGAGGTACTAACAGATGTGTCTGTGTGTGTGTTCGACTCTGTTTGTGTGTGTGTGTGTGAGTCGTGAGACCAAGAGGGTGGGAGTGGAGAGAGATAGAGGTACCTAGGCGATGGCAAAGGAGCCATGGCAGAGAGAGGGAGACATGGCAAAGGCTTGACTATGTGTGTTCTACTGTCTTGTGTGTGTCATATGAGTAGTGGAGAGAGAGAGAAGACAGAAGACAACAACGAGACAAAGGCAGTGGCCAGATAAGATTCGGTGGCTTTTAGGGATTGAATTGGGAAGAAATGAGCTGATATATTAGGGATTTAGAGACTTTTATTATTGGAGCAATTTTATTGAGACATAATTTAGGAAAAGAATTTGGAGGTATAATGAGTTGTCACTAATAAATTGATAATGAAATGCATTTAATATTGCAATGAGAGCCATTTTTTTTCCCATTATTAAATGAATTTCACTATCTTCATTATGCCCCTCAATTATATCTCTCAATTATGTTCCAATAGCATTAGTGTTATTATAGACATATTAAATTTTTTATTTTTTTTTATATTTTTGGGTCGAGTCCGATTTCATCATTTCAAGTTAGATTCGGATTGAACTCATAAATCCGACACTTCAACCTGAGTATTGTCCAAATTGAATCCGGATTGAAGTTTTCTAGCCAAGCCCAACTTTCACTCCTAGGACTTGTTTGAATGGATTTTTGGGAAGGGTTTAGATTGACTTCCCCAAATCCTTTCAAATCTAAATCCCTCTTTACAAATATGAAATTCAACATTGAATTTGATTCATACCCATGTTTAGTATGCAACACATACACATGTAGAACCTACAAATATATCACAATTATTAACAATTATTTGTCTTGTAAATAACTATTTTGCCTCTTGATCAATTCAATATATACTCATGTTAACGGGTACAATTGTCTTTTGCATCCTTAACCCCTTAATTCATCTTCTCAAATTTATCCCCTAGATTTAACGAAACACATGATTATGGATTTAATATTCCGGCCAATTACGAACTGAATTTAATAATTCAAAATTGAAATTTTATCCCAAATATGAGGTTTGGGGATCCGTTAAACTATTTTTTCTAAACCCCGAACACCGATTCTCCAAACTCACAAAACAAACAGGCCTAATGTTCTTGCATTGAGATGTTCATCTCTTAATAACCTTCTCTGACCACAGCTTGAAGATATAGAGGCCATGGGCTGAGTTCCGATTCTCAAAGTTTTAGTTTATTTTTTAAATCAAGTAGCTGAAGTTACCCCCACATTTCACCTCATTTTATTGTGAATCATTTTATTTTAGGGGGATGTGTGTGTCTTGAAGACGGCTATGATACTTCTCCTTATAAGGAGTTGTGTCGTAGTTTGTTTTAAAACTAGATAGACCACACAGAAAATTTAAATAATAGGCTTTAAAATCCACTCCATCTAGGACTTTTTTCATTGTTTATTGACTTTTTTCTTTTACTTATTCTCTTATTAAGTGCGAGAAAAAACTTAAATCGACGAAATGTTTATCTGTTTAAGTGATATATTGAGAGTTCAAGAATATCAAATTATAGTCATAACTCGTGTCTGAAGGCACGATGAAATATAAAATTTTAGCGTTCAAAAAATTGATCTCATTATATCAAATTTAAAATTAATTTCTTTACTTATATCATTTAAAATTAATTTTTACCTATTATTTTCTTAAAAATAGAATCAAAATTTTCTCAAAATACATAACTTGATAATTTTTTTTTAACAAGTGTACACTATTATATACGAATAATGTATGAAATAAAAATTTTGTTAAATTAAAAATTAACTAAATATTAAATAATTGAACATGCGATAGAATTGAGTGATTTTTTGGGATAAAATGTGTAAGGTATAAAAATTTAATTTATTAACTGATTTATTATATGGATCTATCACTTACTTGTCTCAATCTCCACAAATGGCAAAAACTTTATGCATTGTGAACAACTTTTTTTCCTCTTATTTAAATCCGGTGATGTCAAAAAGGATTGGGCTATGATACCCAAAAAATAAAAATCATTATTATATCTCTATTTATTATATTTGTAGTCATTTTTATCACATTTATGAGATTTTTTATCACTGTTGTGGTACTCCTAAAAATAGTTACAACAACAATAAAAATATCCACAAATGTGACAAAAATACTTATAAATGTAGTAAAAACATCCACAAATATGATAAATTTTTTTGTACCAAAGATAAGTGATAAAAATATTTAACACACGTGGTAAAAACACTTATAACAATTGTAAAAATACTAAAAAAAATAGTACATTTCTCACAAAAGTGATATTTTTTTGGTATAAAATGACCTACAAAAATTATTAAAACACTCATTAAAATGAAAAAAATTAGAGGTACGATACTAAATTTATTTATTCGGTACGTAGTCAAGTCCTCTCAAAAAAGAAGAAAAAAAATTGTGTCCACAAGGAAACCCATTCTTGTGAACCAAAACAAAAGCACAGTGGAATAAAGATTCAAAGCAGGATCTAAAAAGATGGAAGTGTACTTTTTTTTTTTGGCTTTTATAGAAACTGAGGTTCAAATTTGGGGACTATAAGATACCTGAAACCTAGGCTGGAAGCCACCTTGCAAGGTACTTACCATTCAACTTTTTATTAAAATCATTGGCAGTGAAGCAAAATGAGGCCACAGAAATAAGAATATATGAAAAAAGAGATAAGATACTGGCAAATTCTTTTTTACTCCCTTGTAGTTTGGGCTTGTTGCACTTTACCCCCTTGTTTTTTTAATAAACACTTAACCCCATTATGTTTTTGGATTGATATGAACAGACGACTACGTTAACAATATAAGCAAAAGCTCATATTACCCTCATCTTCTAAATTGATTTGTTACCGTCCCTCTCCCCTCTCCCCTAACCCAACAAACGAACCACCCTTAGTGCCATCACCCCAACTACTCACTGCCCACAACAACTACAATCCAACATCATCAAATTCAACATCAAAATTATCAAGAAGGTCATTCCAACTCAAGCTCTGCATATGGAAGCCTGTTTTTTTTTCATTGGAAAACAAATTTTCTTCAAACCCATTTTAATTCCAATTCAACTTTAATTCCAATTTTTTTCACTACAAATTAAACCCAATCAACAAATTGAATCACCTACAACCACAGTATCCATAACCACGCGCAGCACTTGCGACCACCACCCACTTGGTGAAAGAAAAATCAAAGTCAGAATTTCATTTCAAAATCGAAATCAAAATCAAATTTTATGTCGATTCTGATTTCATCTTCAAATTGTCACTGCACTCGTTTTGCTGAAGTGATGCACCAGGAAAATTGGTTTTACTAGATTGAAATTGTTATTCGTTGGAGTGGACCGGTGATTCGCCCGAGTGGACTTGTTTTGGCCATGAGAGGAAGAAGATGAGCATGGGGAGGATAGACATATGAGGGAGGGCAGATGGCGTATGTCATTTCAGGTCTGGCTCCTCTACGGTATGGTGGTATGGCACCAAGTGCATGATATGCTGTTTAATAAAACAACGTCGTTTTATGTCTTTTTTTGAAAATCTTAGACCAATAACGACGTCGTTTGTTCAACCAGACCAGATCCAGCTTATTCAAAAATCCCCAAAATTAGGGCTGTCAATTTTCGACACAACACATTAATACGACACAAATTAGATACGAAATTAAATGAGTTAATGGGTTAAAATGGGTTAACACGCTTAAACAAAAAAAATCATGTCGGGTTCATGTCAAAATCAAGTCAACCCGATTTTGACTTGATTAACACGTATATTTTAAACGGGTTGATATGATTCAGATACGAACCCGACCTAACCTATTGTAGACTCATTTATGACAGTATAGTTTATCTATTATGTATAACTAATGTAGTGTTAACATTATTACTTATTAGTTTTTGTTTCTACTATGATAATTGACAATACAATTCTTAACATCATTATGTCAGTATATTAGTATAGTTCTTGCTTTAATTTTTGAGTTGAAACTTGAATGTATTTTAGTTAATTTCATTGATGAGATGTGATATGTTATTTGTAAAACAATTATTTAAAATTTTGGATGAATGATTGAATGATATATTTAATGATAATGAACTGGTGTGGAAACAGTTTATATGTCTTAAACAGATATGTGTTATGTGTGCTAAATAAGTTAAACAGATTGTATTATATGTGTTAATTTGAAAATGACATATTTATTAAACGTGTCAAACATATCGGATTCAGGTAATTTGTTTAATAGTCAGGTTAGGTTAGTGTTTATACATCTTAACACGATTATTAAACATGTCAAGTTTGAGTTTTGAGATTTTCGACACAAACTCAAAATCAACTCAACACAAATAATCTAACTCGACACGGTTGACATCCCTACACAAAATTCATCAAAGCCCTAAACAAGGATTTTGCAACACCAAGATCAGGTACTTTTTATTTCTCTCTTCGAATGGTAGAATACAACTCTCTCTTTCTATGCCTTTTTCAGTTCCTATATATATATAT